GTTGTAAATCATGAAGAATGTGCCCCAGACTTGATTGTATTTTGATGTCATTGATTACTATGAAAGCAATGTTTTTTGTAACGGTATATAAGGGGGTTGTAAGAAAGAATAGAAGTTAGTAGAAGGAGAGAAGAGAGAGAAGGAATGTGAGGTAGGGAGGAGACTGAAAAGGAGTGCAGGAGTGAAAGAAGTAATGTAGAGATGAGAAAAGAATGGAGGGAGGATAGAGGGAGTAATGTAGAGAAGGAGTAGGGGAGTGGAGTAGTGAAAGAAGTAATGTAGATAATTAGGAGGAGTAGTGTAGAAGGAAAAAGAATAAAAGTAATGTAGAGAAGGAGACAGTAAAGAAATGGAAGGAGGGGAAGCTAGTAAAGCAGAAGAAATGAGCAGGAGAGAAAAGAATGAGCAGGAGGGTAAAAAATGAGGACAGAAAAGAATGAGAGAAGAATAAAGCATGTAATAAGATTTTGAATTCATTACGACGACTTATTGACTCCGTGTAATTCTTTCCACTGATGCCTCAACCTTCGGAAAACCCCTGAAATAAATTTGCCGGGGCTGGCTCCCGGCAATATTGCTGGTCCTTTTCATCTATTTTGTAGTATATCCTTAATGTATATTGCCTTATCATGTGAAATAGTATCATTTAAGTTAGACTTCTTGTTGTACCATTGGCAAATATTTGTTACAGATGTAAACAAAGATGAGCAGCCCACCAAGAATATCTGACCTCCCTCCTTGCCTGCCTGCTATTGAAACAAATGGAAGCAATTATTTAGACAGTTCATTAACATTGAATAATAATAAGGAAAGTTATAGTTTAGAATTGTATATAAATGAATGGTTAAAGATAGTGTGTCTGCCCTTGTCTTAATTGTTGTTGTTAAGTACCGTCAAATCAGTTCCAACCCATAGCGACCCTGCATAGGATTTCCAGGGAGCAGCTGGTGAACTTGAATCACCAACCTTGTAATTCATACCAACTCCGCAGTACAGCACACTAGCCCACAGCACCACACTAGGACTCCCCTGGTCTTAGTACTGAATTTTTAAAAAATATTTTTTTAATCTTAATTTATATTAAACATTTATGCATGTACATGGGTTTATATTTTAATCCGTTGTATCTTATTAGAGTATAGCAGTATACCAGTGTGAACCTTGTATAAAACAAAGTATTTTAATATTTTCAGTTTCTGTTCGACACAGTGGAGACCATGGGAAAAGAATGTTTATCATCAAACCCTCTGGATTCTATGACAGGCGTTTTTTGCATTTACTGGTGAGATAAAAAATGTTGAACTAAACTCTTTACACACAAATTTGTTTATGTTTGTTTGAGTTTTTTGTTTTGGTTTGGTTTTGCCTGTTTAGAAAATCTCTTCATTTTATAGAAAATATTATTTTGTAGATTTACATTTTCCCCCAGAAATTACTAAACTTTGTTATTGAATTGTTTCTTAATTAGTCAAACTTTCTTTAAAAAAAGAAATCATGCTAATTGAAGATAAAACTTGAACCCTTTTTTTCTTGCCAAATTAATGGGGTTTTAAAATGTAATCTGTGTTCCTGCAGTAAGAACAAAATTTACAAGTGTAACACTTTGAAGATTGATTTGTTTGGGGATCATTATTACTAAAATGTTCCCTAAATTTCAAAAGAACTCATTGAGAGACTTATTTAAATAAAAAGCTGTCTTATTTTCTATATGATTTTTAATTTATATGTGGCTCTGTGTGTATTTTTGTTTTTATATCCTTTATGCTCTGGTAGCGTAGTGGTTACGAATCGGGCTGCGAACCTTACGGTCAGCGGTTCAAAACTACCAGCCGCTCCGCGGGAGAAAGATGAGGCTTTCTACTCCCGTAAAGATTTACACCCTCGGAAACCCTGTACAGGGTCGCTGTGGGTCGGACCGACTCAATGGCACTTAACAACAACAACAACATGCTTTAGATGAAATCAAGAGCATTGATTTTTGGAGAGTGAAGCAGCAAAATAATAATGCCATTGCTTTTAGGGTACTTTACCTTTGTGTCTTAAGACTATAAGAACAAATTGTTTCTTAAACTATTGCCCCCTTTGGTTGAACACCCAGTTTTCTTGCTGTGACCAATGTATATCACAGTGGCTAAAATCATTCTGATGCTTTTATTTATCTTCTTTATGCTATTCAAAATTTTCTAATCTTTATTATATTGTTGTTAAGTGCCGTCCAATCGGTTCCGACTCATAGTAACCGTGTATAGGGTTTCCGAGGCTTTAAATCTTTGCAGGAGCAGAAAGCCTCTCATCTTGCTCCCATGGAGTAGCTTATGGTCTCGAACCTCCAACCTTGTGGTTCACAGTCCAGTGCTTATCGTGTGAAGCCACCACATTCCCTTTTATTATATTACCCAAAGACCGAAAAGCAACTGTTAAATATATATTGCACTGTACTTGTCAAGTTCAGAAATGAGAAAAAAATGTTATACTTCACTTAGAATATTTGTGACCAGCAGTCCGTCACTGTTAAATTGGCAACTATTGAAGGGTGACCAAACCCCATGGAATGTGAATTATTTTGAGTTGCACAAACAATGTCACCAATTGTTTGCCCTTTGCATTAATTGAATGGCTGACCTTTCTTAATCCTTACTTTTCTCCCTTAGTTTTGGTGCTAAATGTAGGCATTTAAAAAAAGAAAATCGCAGAAGTCAATGATTTGAGACTGCCTCTCCAATTTGGCAATTTTATTTTACTAGGAATGATAGCAAAATCATGTAATGACGACGATCTGAGGGTGAAGGAAAGAAAAAGGAAATGGTTATGTGAAAATTTTTAATTTTTTTCTTAACAGAAATTCTACATTTTGTTGACTGGAATACCAGTAGTAATTGGCATAACTCTCATAAATGTATTCATTGGTAAGTTCTCCATATTCCTGTTGGTCCATTTTAAAAGCATATGTGCATTGATAAAAAGGAAACTTGTTTATTGGAATATAAAACCCTTTAAAGAATAGAACAATCATAAACTTGGAGGGTTATTTTTAAATGGGCAAATCTTCATCTACAATAGTGTTAAATGTGGTTTCTTAGCACACTTTTTTTTTTTTTTTTCCCCTCTACAAACCTTTAAGAGTCCTCTGTTTTCTACAGAGGCCACACAGAAGGCTTCCTCTGTATTTCCCAAAACCAGCTTTGACAAGTCTGAACAAGAGAATTAGCAAGAGACAGATGGTAGAAGAGAAGCTGAAAGATGGATTTTTTTTTTCAAATCCATCCTGGAATATATAAAGTTATAATCCTCTAAAAAAGAATGCAATGATAAATAACAGTATGCATTAGATTTTCATTGGAAATTCTGTTCAAAGTACTTCTAACACCTTAAATCTTGAAATTTTTTTGTGAACTATTTTAAGTTCACTTCAATCTGGTTAAAATCAATAAGGCATTCATTAGAGATACTTTTGATGTCTTTTGTGTGTAAGCAATTGTCTATAAGCACTATGTGAGAGTTTCCCATTTTGTTTTTACATAACAAGATATAATAAAACACATATTATTCCTTCTAACTTTTCCTATTCTTAGGAAATAGTGAGTTGGAACAAACTTGACAGCACTTAACAACAACATTGTATAATTGTAAGACGACTTCAGGGAATATTTTTGGTTTAAGGTTTAAAGATTGTTGTTGTTGTTAAGTACCGTCAAGTCAGTTTCAACCCATAGTGACCCTGTATAGGGTTTCTGAGGAGCTGTTGGTGAGCTTGAACTGCCGACCTTGCAGTTCAAACGGCTTTACAGTCTGGCACATTAACCCACAGCGTTAAGTGCCGTCAATCAATTCCAACTCATAGTGACCCTGTATAAGGATTCCTAATATTAGCTGGTGGGTTTGAAACATTGACCGTGCAGTTAGTAGTCCAGTGCTTATCCTTCTGATGCGAAAGTTGAACATTACTGTTTCCTCTTATTAGGTGAAGCTGAATTAGCAGAGATTCCAGAAGGCTATATCCCTGAACATTGGGAATATTTCAAGGTTAGTAGTACATTGAAAATTTCTTTCTGTTAAATGTCTTGTCAATGCACTGATTATTGTTGCAATATAGTTTTATGTTCAGTTTTTTATATTAGTTGCTGTTGTTATGTACCATGGAGTCAATTCTGACTCATAGCAACCCTGTGCAAGGTTTCCAGGACTGTAAATTTTTATAGGACTAGAAAAATGTCATCTTTCTCCTATGGAACAGCTGGTAGTTTCAAACTGCTGACCATGAGATTAGCAGCCTGATTCGTAACCACTACGCTACCAGAGTTCCTTTTTGTATCAGTAGATTACATATTTTTACTTTTTATATAAAAGCAAGTTCGCTTAGTACTGTTTTGCATTGTTTTCATTATATTAAGTTTTATAGTGTTTGAAAACACGACTGGAATGTGTTCTTGACCTAGTCGATTCAATGACATGGGAAAGATTTTACTGATACTAACATGAGCTGTCATTTATTAGCACCTACTGGTTGCTATGACTGTACAGGGTAGCTATGGGTCGGCATCGACTTGAAGGCACTTACAACACAACAACACTGTGTAATAGGAATCCTGGTGTGGCGCAGGAGGATAATGCCCTCAGAGGTCTGTTTGAACTGTGGTTCAGACTCACCAGCCAGTCCTTGAAAACCCTATATAGGGTCACTATGAGTCGGAACCAAGTCGGCCACACTTAACAGCAGCAACTGATGTAAAGAGCTAGATTTTTAGATTACCAAATTGTAGATTTGGCTCCTGAATCTTCCACATAAAATGCTCAGGATAGAGTGATGGGGAAAAGTACAGACATTGGAGTTAGACAGACCTGGTTTGAGTCCAGGCCCTGCCGTATACTTGTGTATAAAATGGAGATAAAATAGCATCCACCTAATGGATGAAAACCAGTTAAAATGTGTTAAAGTAGTTGTTATATAGTAAGTTGGTTTACCTAACAGGTATAGTTAAAGAACTATACACTGGAAAACCAAAGTATTATTCAGAATCTGACAAATTTAAAACACATTTTCTCTTGTAGCATCCTATATCAAGATGGATTGCCCGTACTTTCTTTGACTGCCCTGAAAAGAATTATGAAAGAACAATGGCTATCCTTGAAATTGAAGCTGAAAAAGCTGAATTACGGTAAAAAATTTTTTTTTTTTTTTTTTAAATTCAGGGGGACAGGGAAGAAAATCCTTTTCTAGTATTGCAAACTATATGGAAAAAGTATGACTATTTCAAAATTGTGGGATACGCCATGTAAAAGAATGAATGTTGAAGAGAGAGACTTTGCCTAATTAGAGGAGACATTATGAGTTGGAGACTAGGAGGTTCTAGTTGTTGTTTAGGTGCTTTGAGTTGACTCCAGCTCATAACAGCCATTATGTTAACAGCACTAACTATTGCCCAGTCCTCACCATCCTCACAGTCATTGCCGTGTTTGAGCCCATTGTTGCAGCCGTTGTGTCAATCCAGCTCATCAGGGGTCTCCCTCTTTTTTGGTGACCCTCTACTTTGCCAAGCATATGTCTTTTTCCACTACTTAATTGTGCTCAGGAGGAACCTGTACATAGACTAAGAGACAGGTATTTAAACAGAACAAGGAAACACTGAATGGTTTAAAATTAGGAAAGGTGTGCACTAGGGTTGTATTCTTAACACTATACTTATTCAGTCTGTATGCTGAGCACATATTCCAAGAAGCTGGATTATATGAAGAAAAACGTGGCATTAGAATTAGAGGAAGACCCGTCAACAACCTGTGATAGGCAGATACAGCTTTGCTTACCAAAAGTGAAGAGGACTTAAAATACTTACTGATGAAGATCAAAGACTTTAGCCTTCTGTATGGGTCATACCTCAATGTAAAGAAAACAAAAATCCTCACCATTGGACCAATAAACATCCGTATCAATGAAGAAAAGATTGAAGTTGTCAAGGACTTCATTTTGCTTGTATCAGCCATCAACACTCATGGAAGCAGCAGTCAGGAAATCAAATGATGTATTACATTTGGCAAATCTGCTGAGCAAGACCTTTTTAAAGTGTTCAGAAGCAAAGATGTCAGTTTGAGGACTCAGGTGCACCTTACCCAAGCCATGGTTTTTTCAGTTGTATGCATGTGAAAGTTGGACAGTGAATAAGGAAGACTGTAGAAGAATTGATGCATTTGAGTTATGGTGTTGGAGGAGAACACTGAAAGCACCATGGGCTGCCAGAAGAACAAACAGATCTGTTTTGGAAGAAGTACAACCAGAATGCTCCTTGAAAGCCAGGCTGACCAGACTTCATCTCTCATACTTTGGACATATTATCCGGAGGGACCAGTCTGTAGAGAAGGATATCATGTTTGATAGAGGATTAGAGAAAAAGAGGAAGACTCCTGATGAGATGGACTGACACAGTGGCAGCAGGAATGGGCTAAAGTGTAGCAATGATAGTGAGGTTGGCACTGGACCCCAGGCAGTGTTTCGTTCTGTTGTGCATATTGTCACTATGAGTTGGTACCAGCTCGATGTCACCTTAACAGTAAGTCATTACTGATGTTGTGCCCAAAGTAAAAAAGCCAGAGTCTCACCATCCAGGCATCTCGATGTATTTCCTATAAGACCAATTTGTTCTTTTTTTCTGGCTGTGTATTGCATATTATTTGCCAACACTACAATTTGAATGTATCAGTTCTTCTGTGGTCATTTCCATTGTCCAGTTTCCACATTTATAAGACATGATTGAAAATGCCATGGCTTGGGTCCTCAAAGTGACATCTTTGCTTTATTTTTTTAAAAGAGGTAACTTTTCACAATGTATTGCTTGGATTCTTGACTGCTACTTCCATGGGCCTTGATTGTTGATCCCTAGTAGAATGAGATTTTTCACATCTTCAACTTCTTCAGTATTTATCATGATTTGTTTACGGGCCCAGTTGAGAGGATTTTCATTTTCTTCACAGTCAGTTGTAATTCATTCTGAGCATTATAGTCTTTTACTTTCAACCACAAATGTTTTACAGTGTCTTAATTTTTTGCAAGCAAGAATGTGTCATCTGCATATCACAGGTTGTTAATGAATCTTCCGCCATTCCTGATGCTTTTCTGACTATTTGCTTAGTATACAGATGATTAAGTGTAGTAAAAGATTACAATCTTGATGCTCACCTTTTCCAATTTTAAACCACATGGTTTTCTCTTGTTCTTTTCAAATGATTACCTCTTGGTTTGCTTACATAGGTTCTTCATGAGCACAATTAGGTGTTCTGGAATCCCTTTCTTGGTTCTTTTATCCATAATTTTTTATGATCCACACACTTAAATACCTATGCATAATCAATAAAACACAGGAAAACATCTTTGTGATATTATTTGAATTTTGCTTGAACTTCTAGCAATTTCCTGTCAATGTACAGCTGCAACCATTTTTTATTTTTCTTTAACAAAATTTTGCTAGAGTGCAATATTAATGATCCAAACCAGAAAACCAAAGCCGCTGCCGTTGATTTAGACTCAGAAACCCTGGATAAAGATTCTGAGACTGTAAATATTTATAGGCATACACAACTGTATCTTCTGTGACGTGGCTGGTGGCTTTGAACTGCTGACCTAGCGGTTGACAACCCAGCACCAAACCCGCAGCACCTGACAGTGTATTATAATTGTCCCATTCCATTTGGAATGGGTACAGATATGGATCTCTACCAGCTGGATAGCTAGGCAACTGTCTTAAAAGTTTCTTGACATAGGCAAGTAAATGCTTCCAGGCGGAGACTCATAGGAAGTAATATCTATCAGCTTAAAAGAAATTGTCTTTAAAATATTCTTCTCTTTTGGTGTTTGTGCAAGGCAATTCTCCCTTCTCCTAAGTTCCTTCCCTACTGCTCTCAGTCTTATCTTTGCAAGTGACCCTGTTTAGCACTTTCTTTATTTTACCTAGAGAAAGAAGCATCCATAAAATGTTTGTTATCATTTAAAAATATATTAACATAAATGGAGTTATGTTGCATATAACTCTTCTGCAAATTTTCCACATTTTCCATACTAGATCTTGTTGATTTTTTCACAATATCATATACCCCATTCTTTGTAATGACTGTATCATATATTTCATTGGATAGTTGTGCCTTAGTGTTATCAGTTGCCCATTTATTAGTATGCAGATTGTTTCCCAAGTTTTTGCTATTATTAATAATACTCTGTTGAATATCCTTATATTTTTGCTTATTTATGCAACATATTTAGAAAGTAAATTTCTAGAAGTAACTCAGGTAAGCCAAATGGCATATGTTTTTAGGTTCTGTGTAGATAGCCAAATTCTTCTCCAAAAAAAATTGTAACAGTTATCCTCTCACGAATGCACGATGATTCCTGGTTTTCCATCTCTTTGATTATCCAACTTACTATTGATGAAATGAAATTTATCAAATATAAACATCTTTGCCAATATGGTAGTTAAAAATGTTGTCATTTTGGTTTTGCGTTTCTTTGTAAAGTTAAGTCGTCTTTCATTATGTCTATTGGTGGTTTCTATTTCTCGGTATGTTGCTGGGGTCTCTACTGATTTTTACAGTAAGTAAATTAACCATCTTTTCTTGTTGCAGATAGGTTTTCCCAACTAGCCTATTGTCTTTTGACAAATTTTTTTTTTGCAACACAGAAGTGTCTTTATGTTTCAGATAACAAAAGTGTTGCTATTAGCTGCCATTGAGTTTGCCCTAACTCATGGCAATGCCATACACACCAGGATGAAACACTGTCCTGTCTTGCACCATCCCCACGATTAATTGCAGATCAGACCACTTGCAGCTAGTACATTTCTGAACACTTTCGATGTTAGTGTTTTAATCACTATCTGTAATTTGCTCATTTGATTATTGCCAAGTTTGTCAGTCTTTTTTGCTTTGGCTTCTTATGCATAGTAAGTAAATACATAACTCCAAAATGTTTTTAAATGTCCCCTCATATTTTCTTTCTTTTATGAAGCTTTTTATTGTGAATTGACTGAAGATTTACAGAAAAGATCATCAGTGTTTACCTTAAACCAATCATGCACTTTGTTTCATCTCAGTGATTGCAGTCCCTTGTATGGAACAATAGTTATCCCACTTCCTACCCATAGTTCTTGTTTCCATTCCACCCTTCTTCCCAACCCAGCTGAATTTTGTCTTTAAATAAATGCTGTCTGTTTGAATTTGAGGGGTTGACAATTCCATAGTGAGCATACCTTAGTATTGTTGTTCCCCTGTATGCCTCCCTACTGCTTAATTGAAAATGGGCCACAAGAGTGAGTTCCAGTCCAGACCTGAAGGGTGGCTGAGAGCCATGTTCTTGAGTTCCTCCAGTCTCTTTCTAACCAGTAAGCCCAGTCTTTTTTTAAATAAATTTGGGTCCACTTGTATCATCTTTTGCTATTATTAAATTTGAGCCGATCAGAAATATAGTACAATAAACCTTACCCATTATATTCAGTGAGTTTTTGACAAAAAGTATATACCTGTGTGACCACTGCACAATCAAGATCATTTTGATAACCCTGAAATGCTCCTGGTAGGCACTGTGGGTTAGGCATTGGGCTGCTAACTACAAAGTCAGCAGCTCACAAAACCCATCAATTTTTCCATGAGAGAAAGAAGAGGCTGTCTTCTCCCGTAAAGATTTATGGTTTTGGAAACACTAAGAAGGGTTGCTATAAATTGGAATCAACTATATGACAGTGGGTTTGCTTTGGTTTTGAAGTGCTCCTGTGTGTGCCTCTTTCCCACACATTCCAATCAATTCTCATCCTATACTTTTGGCCCCAGGGTGCCACAGATCTACTTTCTCTTTATTCTGTTTTGAACTTTGCTGCTCATTAAACTGGTAATTGGAAGTGCTGGAGTCACAGTATTGCTCTTCCATTTGTTACAGGTTAAAGGAGCTGGAAGTACGATCATTGATGCGTGCAAGAGGCGATGGACCTTGGTACCAATATCCAACTGTAGATAAGGCACTTATTGATCATTCTCCAAAAGCAACTCCTGACAACTAATGTTTTATTTTTCCAACTACAAAGTGTATTCTCTTTAGTGAAAATAAATTAACCAATATATTCTGTGTTTTTGCTCTCTGTGATGGATAATAAAAGAGCCTCTGTTTCTCAGTGTTGGTTCCTATTAAGGCCTTTGATTTGGGGGTTTTGACTTCTCTTTTAAGGAGGTTTAAAATGTTACAATAAAAACTTAGAGAAATAAAAGTGTGCAAACTAGTAAAGTTGTAACTTTGGAAAGTTTATCTGATGAATTATAGACGAGAAGACTAAATATATTCGGTGACAGTGAGTGTAGTAACTTGTACACACATCTGTATTGCAGACTTCTGGATTATTCAGTGGCAACTCAGGATTTTAAATTGCACAAGAAATATTGAATCAGTTGTGTAACACCGTAATAAATATCAAGGTAACGAATCTTAAGGTTTATATTTTCACATTTTATGTACTTGCACTTTTTTCCCATACCATATACATTTACTGTACACATGTGCAGTCTCTTAAGAATCCTTAAAGTGCTTTTTTGCAAACACTGCAGTGTTGTAGTTGTGCAATGTAAAATAATCATTGCAAAGATTATAAAATGGTGATTAAAAACTGCTCTGAAAGGGATGACATTAGAAGGTCCCAGATAGAGTGGGAAACAATGTGGAACAAAATTCTAAATTATAATAGGAGATCGGGCATACTGGTCAGAAAGAGACTGTAGGAACCCAAGACTATGGCCCTCCACCACCCTTGAGGTTTAGACTGGAACTCACCCTCTTGGCCCAATTTTCAACCAAGCAATAAATAGGTATACAGAGGGGACAACCACACGAGCATGGTATACTCACCATAGAATACTCAACCATTCAAGATCTAAAGGGCAACATTTACCTAAGGACAAAGATGAGGAAGGAAGGGGAATAAGAACCAAAGGGAGGAAGTGGAGTAACAGTTGGTACATGGAGAGGATTGCAATCATTGAGAAGAAGCACTGTGTATGATTTGTTGAATGTGAAACTGGTGTTCTCTACACCTTCACTCAGTTCACTTTAGGGAGTTTTAGAAAACTGTAGTTGGCTACAACTGAAAATAGTAGCTGTTACTTATGAAGAAGACCCCCAACGAGATGGATTGGCCAAGTGGCAGCATCAATGGACTAAAGCATGGCAGTAGTAGTGAGGGTGGCCCAGGATCAGGCAGTGTTTCATTCTGCTGTGCATAAGGTTGCTATGAGTCGGTACCGACTTGATGGCACCTAACAACAACAACAAACACTGCTAAATAACTGCATATTATCTTCAAAACCATTATTAGTTGCCACTGAGTCAGTTGCAACTTGTAGCCACCTGACACAACAGAATGAAACACCGCCAGGTCCTGCGTCAGCCTTTTAGTCATTATGTTTGAGACTTGCTGATGCCACTATGCCAATCCATCTCAATGGGGGTCTTCCTCTTTTTCACTTAACCTCTATTTTACCAAGCGTGATATCTCCAGGGACTAGCTAGTCCCTCCCAATAATATGTCCAAAGTATGACAGATGAAGTCTGACCATCCTGGCTTCTAAGGAACATTCTAACTGTACTTGTAAGAAAAATATGTTTTTCCTTATGGCATGATACCTTTAATATTCTCCAACACCATAACTCAAATGCATAAATTCTATGGTCATCCTTATTCATTGTCCAACTTTCACAAGCAAATGGGTATTGAAAATACTACAGCTTGAGTCAGGCCCACCTTAGTCCTCAAATTGATATTTTTGCTCTTGAACACTAAAGATGTGTGTAGCAGATTTGCCT